ATTCTCTAATTGCAGGGAAATGACAACCAGACTTTACTGGAGTATGTAACACTGTCTATAACAAACAAGCGAGATTTTCAAATCAACCATCGACAAGCGTACACGTGGCGATAGCCTTCAATTTGAATAAAATATATGCTTATATAGTTTAACAAACATTTATACACTGTTTATGCGTGCAACCCTGCTGAGCCGGAAACGCCTCACACACAGACTTCGCTTCCAAATTGGAGAATAAGATCACAAATCGTAATAGGAGTGAGTCCTGCTATCTATTCCGTTTTGAATTTCTACATTCTGTGGAATCTATAAAACCGATGTTGTCCAAAGAACGGTCTAAACGTTTCCGGAGTTCAGAAGGAATCCCGGCCCCTCACAAATATCTCACATTTTCATACACAAAGTTACGTACACCATTCAAATCTTATTAATTAATTAAAATAAACATTTATGTATTTTATTGTATGGAGGCACCTCATTTTTTGGAAAAACGCCAAAACGCAAAACCACAAATTAGAGGAAGATCTTGGCCGCTTAAGCGGTTACAAAGCGTCAATTACATATATGTATATATATATGCTATTTTGTTTCTTGCGAGTAACTACCTACAGGATAGCATTAACCCAAATTTAAAAATCGAGTATGGCATGAATATTTATTTTAACTTTTGTAAGTTTTAATGAGTACTAGTACTGCATCGGTTTATTTTTTTGTTTTTCGCATACGAATAATTTTTGTAAAAAAAAATGTTCGGTATTTAATTTTATTTAGGAAAATAATGCTACGTTCCTTTTTATTATTTTATTGGCGCCAACGATGCTTTCCGAATCCCGATATTGGAGTAAGGATGCTTGCTACTGTTGTTGTTGATTTTTATTGTAGTTGTTGTAACGGCTGATGTTTCGCTGTGTTGTCTGATAACTGACTTGCGGCTTGTCCCTGCTGCATAAGCTGGGAAAGACGCATTAGAGTGCGCGCACAATATTATGGTGGTATCCTGTGAAGTGCACGCTTAAACAGGCCGAGATGCATAATCATGAAGAGTTTGAGAAGCTGGTGCGAAAATTTTACGAAGATATTCGTTGACTTACAGCAGGTGTCAATACCGGAACAGACTCTTGTAGGACAAAAAGGAATGATCTAGTAACTGATGTCCAGAAAATACTGAATTAATGGAGAGAAAACTTCTTCAGCCTGCTGAATGGCAGTGACAAAAAAACACCAGGAGATAGTGAACCCGAAATCCCAACCAGACGTTTCTTTACCCGGCTACGAAGAAGCTCCACTTAAAAGCAACAAAGAGGCGGGCAGTGATGGATTACCGGCCGAGCTGTTCAAGTACGGCGGTAAAAAACTGATAAGGGGCATGCATCAGCTTCTTTGCAAAGTATGGTTGAATGTAAGCGTGCCCGACGATTTAAACTTAAGCATGCTCTTTCAAATCCACAAAAAGGGCGATCCCACAATCTGCGCCAATTACCGTGGGATAACCCTTATTAATATCGCATATAAAATCCCACCATTAATAAACTGATGGTAAATCATTCATTGACCGGATATTCATCATACGCCAAATATTGGAAAAGGCCTTTGAAAAGGGGATCGACATACACCATCTTCTTTCGACTTTAAAGCCGCATTCAGCAGTTCTGAATTTGATATCTCCGCAAAACTTATACGGCTATTAAACTAATGTTAAGCAGCACTAAAAGTTCCGATGGCAGTGCTGCGAAGATGGAGAAAGGAACAACGTAACTCAACTGTTCTAAATGTAAATAAAATAAATTCTCTTCTTTACACATTTCCTCAAACTCATGAATTTAAAATACCCATCTCGGAAGCGGCGTAGTATAAACAGTGGGTCCCTCCATTTTTTGGAAAAAACATTAAGATGCATACAACAAATTGAAGGAGCTCGGCCGAAAGTCGCTGTTAAAGTGTGCGCTTCACAGGACATCACACTAGTATTGTGGCGCACCCTAATGCGCATTTCTCCAGCTTATGTAGCTATATAAGCAGTGCTTGCCAAACAATCGAGGAGATTTTACTAGCAAGTACTGGCAAGCGAGAACGGGGCGAAAACATTTACTCCCCATGTAGTCAAATGGAGCACCAATCCTCAAAAAGCAGACCACACTATCCGTGTGCGTAAGAACTTGAATGACGGCTTAATAAAGTATTGCGTCAGATTTACCTCTTACCCCGTAGAGCAGTTTACAAAAAATCTACTGAAAATTAAAAATAATTCTCTTGACGATTGTTATTAACGTATTCATGACGCATACGATGTATTAATCCGAAAAGAGAATATAATTGCGCTGGAGTGAGGAAAGTATCAATTTAGCATTGATACTTATGAAACAACTAAATCCAAAATTTCTGAGCAACTAAAGTTAATTAGAGAAGTGAATCAATGTCTAGTTCTCAAATATAGCCCATTTCCAAAATAGTTGATCAACCGGAAATATATCTCCATCTTTCGCCATGTGACACCGAAACATTTTGTGGTGGATAAGGCCTTTCCCATATGAAATTTATCGACAATTGGTCGACAATCAGGACACATTATTGAGCTTATCCAAAGTTCAAAAAGAAGAGGTTATTGATTTGTATAGTACAATTACAAATTATTTATAAGCGTCCAAAACTTTTGGCACGCCCACTGAGAGCTGGGCCCCAATTCTGGTCAATAAATGCTTATTCGCAGGGCTGACATTATTATTAGGTGTTAATGCTGGTTCCTGGTTCCAGTCAGAAGAAAACAGAACTAACAGCGCGGTTGTTGAGGCCAATAATGTCAACATCATCGGCCTACGCTAGCAGCTGTATATTCTTATAAAAGATTGTACTTTCTCTATTCAGCTCGTATTATTTTCTTCAGCTATCAGTTGAAAAAGGTGAGGCACATGGTGAATATCTTGTGAATGGTTGACTTATCGGGTCTGAAGTCACACTGATACGGTCCAATCAGTTTGTTGACGGTGAACTGCCATCAGGGCCTTATAGGCGATGTTAAAGAGGCTTACCCATGCACCTTGTCAGCTCTTCACCGCCAAGTTAGAATATTTCTGCCGGTAAGTTGTCAGCTCCAGCCGCTTTGTTGTTTTTTATGCGTGCGATTGCTATTCGAACTTCTTCATTGTCAGGTAATGGAACGCCTTTTCTATAGCCATCGATTGTGGTATCTGGTTCACCATCTCCGGATTTTAAAGTTTCACTGCTTTTCAGCAGACTGGAGAAGTGTTCCCAACATCAATTCAGTATATTCTGGGCATCCGTTACGAGATAACCGTTCTGGAGTCTACTCCGGTCTTGATACCTTTCGTAAGTCGTGAATCTTCTCATAGAATTTTCGAGCATTACCCTTGGTGGCCAGATTCTCAAGCTCTTCATACTCACGCATCTCAGCCTCTTTCTCTTTTTGTCGTCAAATGCGTCTTGCTTCCCCCTTATCTATCGGTATCTATCCCATCCCACACGTGTTGAGGTCGATCGCAACTTTGCGAGGTAGGCAGTCTGTTTTCTCTCCACGGCGAAAACTAATTTTTAGTCCTTTTCGTACCAGCTGTTTTTGCGGTCTTTACGAAATCCAATAGTTTCATTTGCAGCTGTACGTAAAGAGCTTGAAATGCTGTCCCACAGGGTCCGTATACTCTTGCTGATGAGTACTCTCATAAAGCAGGAGTCCAAGTCGAGTAGAAAACCGATCGGCAGTCGGCAGTCTGTTGTGCGTTCTTCGAGATACAGAGGCACATGCCAAGCTACTCAAACAAAATACATAACGATGATAACTTCTTCCAAAACACCATCCGAAATAAAAGGGAAGCCAACCAGGCACTAATACATAACATCTATACAAAAAACCACCCACCTGGGATCCAAACAATATGAGTTAACATTTACGGACGGATCCGTAAAAGATAACAGGGCGAGTGCAGCATTCATACAAAAAAAATCTAACTCACGCAAATCCTTTCACTCCAACACAAAGTTAGCCTCAATGACAGCCGAACTAATAGCAATAGAAAGAACCACACATTTCGCTATAGAACCCAAATAACAATACTAACCTACTTTTCTAAAGCTCAAAAATGCCGATAATAACAACTCCATAGCTAGAAACCATCAACTCGTTATCAATCATAAAAGTAGAGCAACACCACATACCAGCACACTGAAATCTCAAACCTAACAAAAAGGAGAAACGGCAACCAAAAATTCCACGCAATCAGGAGAGCCAATAAGAATATTATGATTAGTCAAAGACGCCATAAACGAAATTTCGAAAAAAATACAAAAAGATTGGGAACAAGAATACAAATCAAAATTAGTGAACAAAAACAAAAATATACGGATGAATATTCCTTGGTTTCACGAAAACAGCTCTGGATTAAAATCAACAGAAATAAAACAAATAACAAAAAAATTGTTTTTTGAGTGTTTGACATAAATTTTATCCATAGATAAGGAGGATTGTACCCTTCACCATTGGATTGAAGTTTGCCTTGAGAAGTTAAAGATTGCTTCAACTTAAATGCAACTGAGGTAGAAAACTAAATTTTAGAAAATAACAGCATTATATAGGGAAAAACAGGTAATAATAAACATATTGAATATTTTTCTTCAGTTTTAATGCTATTAAAAAGTTCAAAGATTCTAACCGCTTTGCGATGCTTTACAACTAGATGCTACCAACGTCCCGCCGGAGAGCAATGAGGAAAAAATATGAAATAGAGCGGATAGATACAAAGGAAATTTTTGTCTCATCATCCTCTTGACTTGTTGAGGCACTCTTGGGGCTATCGATTGAACTCATGTGTCCATTATGAATTTCAGAAATCATGAAGAAGCCTGTGTCAACCAACATAGATACCATTCTACCAATTTGCAAATTGTGATAGTAAGTTGTAAATTTATTTGGTGGTCCTCTACAGAGCTTAGAGTCATGCAGCATAGTTTTAACCATAACTTGTTTTTGTTAGGCTGTGGTGCAACCTTACCTTGATGTAAATGGAAATTTCCGTTGATTATTATTGCAAAAACTGAATAAGACAATTGCCTAATTGTTAGAGCAAGGGACGAAATTCGTAAGTTTGCGATCCGACAAATCGTGTCGAAAAAGTTACAGAACTCCACCACAGATCATGTCACCTTTATGTACGTACATTCGACAATTTGCAACTACAGATATGAGTTTATTGTCCTACAAGTAAAAAAATGTATTAGTGTAAAGGTATGGCCAAAAAACTGCTGACATACCTTTTTTCAACATGGTGCAATAAATATAACTTATATGAGTAGTACTAATGTTTGCTTTTAGTAGTATACATTGAAATAACATCGCAATATAGGCGCTTTACAGATTTTGTTTTGGGTGCGTGATTCACGTGTAGGCCTATTCTGACCCATATGTATATATATGTCACCTTCAACTGAACACAGGAATAAAATTTAAAACTTTCGCCGAAGACATTTAGATCGGCAACACACCCAACTGAATACTAGCAGTTTTGTTCGAAATTCAGAGAAATAGACTGAAGTTTGCTTTTTCATTACGTTCTATTATAATATTTTACAATTTTTTCCCTTCAAACGCCATTCAACTGAATACGTGTACGTAAAGAAGCGTGCTTGCATGCTTGAACAAATACGATTTTTGTTATAATGTATGAGTTAGTAATTTGATATTTACTTTATTTATTTATGTTATTAATTACAAGGAACAAATTGAAATGATGTAATCAACCGAAAAAGATCGAGAATCCTAAAACGGGCTTCCGAAATTTGGCGGACACTGTGAACAATGTGCACAGTCCTATCCAATTTTTATTAGTAATAATTAATTGCATTTCCACTCTACCAGTAAAAATTTGAATATGAATTGAAGTGTTTTTATTTTTTTTTTTTTTGTATTTAATGAAGTAGTTGATTTTTTTATATATATTTGACAGTAGTTGAATTTATTTTCATTTATTGAAATTGTTGAATTTTCTTACATTCATTGAAGTTCTTCAATTTATTTGTACAATATTATTATGTAATGATTAAACTGCTACATTGTAGGATTAGTTCCTAAAGATCGAGTTCTTGAGTGCATTGTCAAGTTAACAATGGTACATAATTACTTAAGAAAAAATTTACACTAGAAAGGAACTTTTGTTAAGGAATCAGCTGGTGGAAAAAATAAAATAAATATAATTGGTGGCGGAAAACGTGAAAAAAGGTGTTCCCTGGTCCTAATTCTGGCCAAATTTTGTTTGCGGATGGTCTAAAAAAAATACATAATATAATTATTTACTTTATTTCTCTTTCATTTGAACAGACATTACCTTTCTTCACTGAAAACATATGGAAAATGAAAGATTTTAGTAGAAGTTAACAAAACCTTGACTTGAATTGGTAATAATTCCAGTTTCTTTTTTTCTTCTTTAATATACAAATAGTCTTTGGTTTCAAATAAATGTTTGTCTGTTAGTATCTTCTTTTCTGATTCTCCTCTCTTTAGTTTTGATTTGTCCGATGATTTCTATAAAATTTCGATAAAAATTAAAGAAGGCATCGATTTGGTCGTAGTACGCATGGCAATTGAAAACCAATTGCCCACTTTTACTGTAACTGCTATCCCTAAATCGAAGCGGTGCGTGCTAAACAACTGTCAAAAATTATCATTGCCATATTATTTGTATCCCCCCTCAGCCTCCACGGCAGTGCCTTCAGCACATATACCCACTCTGGGTATTCAGCAGACCTTCACGGTCTTACGGAGCTCCCCGCAGCATGATTCCCTCCAACCTCCACCCCCATTCCTACCCACAACCAGCTCCTCATCCTCCTCCCGTGCGAGGGCTACCCAGCAGCTCCTAGTCCTGTGCGGAACCAACTCTCGCGGGTAGTACAGCAGCAACACACACCATCCACGCATCACTCCCTCACCCCCCCCGAATCGCGAACGTTCCCCCGAGACAGGCCCGACTCCTACAACTTAACTGCAACGGACTCCATGGAAAGATTGACGAGATAGTCGACTACATGAGCCGGGAGCACCTGTAATCCAGGAAACCAAGTTGACAGCCCGATCAGATCTTCTGAACAGGGCCGGATACAACATAATCCGCAAGGATCACGAGCGAGACCACGGTGGAGGCTTAGCGTTCATCCTGCACAACACCGTGCAATATCGTCTCATCAATGGCGACATCGACCGCAGGGATACTACCCTAGAATGTCAGGGCATCGCCATCCGGTCAGGCGATGTCGAGCTCGAAATATTCAATATCTACATTCCTCCAGTTACAAGATGCCCAGCAGGATACACCCCTGATATAGGTCCGCTACTCAGAGGCGAAAACCGTTTGGTTTTGGGCGACTTTAACGCGCATCACGATCTTTGGCATTCTAGCCTGTCAAATGACCGTAGAGGAATGGAGCTGGCAGAACAGATAGACGATTCGACATTCTGCACAATGAACGACAACACCCCCATCAGAGTTATGGGTAATTTCCAAAGCTCGCCAGACATAACAATTGCGGGTGCTGGTCTAATAAACAGTATAGTCTGGCGACCTATACTGAAGTTAGCATCGGACCACTTGCCCATACAAATCTCTTTGTTTCCGCGGACCACCGGACATTTGTTAACTTTAAAAGAGCTAACTGGCCCGGATTCATGGAATTTACTGAGAAGGCCTTCAGTGCTCTTCCCACTCCAACTGATGTCACCGCTGGTGAAAGCTTATTCCGCAGGGTCGTCGTGACCGCTGCCGCCCGCTTCATCCCAGCAGGCCGGATTGCGGAAATCTGCCCGCATTTTCCGACAGAAGCGGCGGTATTAGCATCCAGGCGCGACACCCTCCGAAGCTCCGATCCCGGGAATCCCCTAATCAGGGATTTAAACGCGGAGTTTCGAAGAGTTGTCAACAATCATAAGCGGAAAAAGTGGGAGGAGCACCTAAGGACCTGCAACCTCTCCTCTGGGGCAACCAAGCTCTGGGCTACAGTCAAAACGCTGTCTAACCCGACGAGACGCGATGATAGGGTGGAAATTTCATTCGGTGACCGCGCCTCGTCGGACCCGAAGAGATGCGCGAGCTATTTTAGCCAACTTTTCACACTGCATCCCTCGGTAGACAAAGCGAAACGACGTGCAACCCGCCGTACGCGCAAACTGCCAAACACCAGCGCGGTGCTTGACTTCTCCAGGGAGGAGGTTCAGGGGGTCATCGGGAAGGCGAAAGCTTCCAAATCCATCGGCCCCGACAGAATAAGCATGCTGATGCTGAAACACCTTGGACCAGCGGGAGCAGAATTTCTCACGAGGGTCCTTAACTTGTCTCTGACCACCCTGAAGATACCCGATGTGTGGAAAATGGGTAGGGTGGTCCCGCTACTTAAACCAGGGAATCCAGCCAACAAAGGAGAGTCCTATCGGCCGATATCTCTCCTCTCCCCAGTAGCGAAGACACGTGAGGCCCTACTGCTCCCGATCTTCACTCACCATCTGCATCCAGCAGCGCATCAGCATGGCTTCCGAAAAGTGCACAGCACCACAACAGCACTTAACGCCATAAACACCCAGATAGTCCAAGGCCTTAACCAAAACCGATCCTGCGCGCGAACTGTCCTAGTAGCACTGGACTTGTCAAAAGCTTTTGACACAGTCAATCACTCAGTGCTACTAACGGACATTGAGGAACCCCCTTGGCCGCCGGGATTGCAGAGGTGGGTCATGGGCTACCTGAGTGGTCGACAATCATCGGTAATATTCCGAGGTGTAACATCTAAACCCAGAAAAATTAAACAGGGGGTTCCGCAGGGTGGTGTCCTCTTCCCGCTACTGTTTAACTTTTACATCTCGAAACTCCCTCCACCACCAGAAGGAGTTTCCCTAACCTCGTATGCCAATGACTGTATGACAATGGCGTCTGGCCAGGATATAGATGACCTCTGCTCGAAAGTGTACTGCTACCCCGCTGATCTCTCCCACTTCTTCACTGCAAGGCAACTACGAATTCAACCGACCGAAGGAATACAGGCTTGAACTAGATGTGAAGGTCGATGACACAAAAATTCCGACGGTAAATAACCCAAAAATATTGGGAGTAACCCTAGACAGACTGCACTCCTCATACGACCACAATTGCCGCAAAACTCCATAACCGCAACAAAATACTCAAAGCGCTAGCCGGCAGCACCTGGGGTAAAGATAAAGAAACTTTGCTGGCTACTTACAAAGCAATTGACCGGCCGGTCGTAAACTACGCTGCACCGATCTGGACGCCGGGGATGAACGAGACGCAGATGAAGAAGCTACAAGCTTGGCTGAATACCGCTCTCAGGACTGCGACAGGAAACCTCCTGATGTCGCCGGAGCATCACTTGCACAGGGAAGCATCTATGTTACGAGTTAAGGAGCATAATGCTTTGCTGTGTGCAAGCAGTTCCTATTGGGATGCTACCGGAGGGAGTACTAGACTTAAAGGATACAATCCAGCAACACATACAACAACCGCTGGACAGGACGTGGTACCGAAAAGCACTGAACGCCATTCACCAGGAGTCAGTTAACAGCTTCAAGGACTCCCTCCCAGTGAATGGCATACTCGGAGAAAGGACACCACCCATAGCAGACAACGAGCTCGAGCTGCCTCGAGAGACCCGCGTGACCCTGACACAACTCGGGTCTGGATATTGTAGCAGGTTAAGCTCCTACCTATCCAGACTAGACCCCAGCATACCCAACGTATGCCCTGCATGTGGAGAGTCTCCGCACGATACTAACCACCTCTTCACATGCCCCCTCAAACCCACTCATCTAACCCCCCTCTCCCTTTGGTCCAACCCCGTCGAAACAGCTCGTTTCCTGGACCTACCACTAGATGACCTCGGCGACTTAGACACATAAATAGTATTTTGCAAATAAATGATAAATATTCACTGAGATATTAATTCCACCGTTTCAGGCACACTTTTGTTGACCGATTAAGTTCGTAGTGTCTTGTTTAAAATGAATGCAATTATTATATTAAATATTCTTATAATAATACGAACATGAAGAGAGAGAGAAAACACCAACACGTTCACGCTGTTATTTAGTGATAGCGCGCGTTGGCATTCATTGGCGTAAGCAAACGCTTCTCCAAACGCTCCAATTTAGGTATGTCAGTATTTTGCTTACGAAAGCAAAAATTTTCAAAAGCGAATGTGTTATATTTCTGTTGTAAATAAAATATGAAAACTTAACGATTTTTCCATATATTTCTCAATAAAATTAATAGTTTTTATCGTATCTTGTATTTAAGTTTTTTCCTTTGCCCATTAAACATCGCTTTCTTACAATTTGTCCGCTATCGTTTTCTAAACGCATCTGTAAAAAAAAATTTTATTTTTTGCTTCATGTTACTCTAGCAAACAAGACTGTGGAGAAAATCGTGATCTGAGTTGCCGTATTTCTGAGAGGAGCAGACTCATGAAACAAAAAATAGAGCAAATAAAAACAAAAATGTATTCAGAAAGACAATTTCTTGAAATATAGTAACATGGCGAATCTTGCAATTCTGTAACTTTTTCGACACAATTTGTCGAATCGCAAAGTTGCGAATTTTGTCGCTTGCGCTAACGATTATGCGGTTCTCTAACTCAGTTTTTACGATAATCGACATCGCACATTTCCATTTTATTAAAATGTAGGAAAGGTGGCACCACAGCTTAACGAAACGTCAAAACGTACGAAAAGCACAAAGAGGAATAACAAAAACAAATAAATTTGTTATTTAAATTATTTTTATTAAGAGAATAGCAATGCATTACAAAGTTTTCAAAAGCATGTTATGGTTTGCACTTTCATGCATGACTCCTCGCTTTATAGAGGAGCTCTTTTGTACTTGGCATTTGCCATTATAATCTTGCGATAAGGGACATATCTATTGGAAAATATAATTAACTTTGTTACTATAATAGTAATTGGAAACAAATTTACTCTCATGATTTGCACATTGTTGGAATTGTATATTGGTAAAATATATTATTACCTGTTTCTCTGTAAACAATGCTGTTATTTTTCTTCCTTTTAGTTAACAATCTAGTTGAGAACGATTTCTTCAACTAAATCCGGCGTTAATCTATATAGCTTCTGAAACTCGATAGCATCCAAATGAAAAGGATCTTCTGCTTCTCAACGCAAACTTCTATTCAATGATGTAGGGTAGGAAACCACGTCATCTTGTGGTAAATCGTATGCCAAATATTCAAAAGCCATTTACTTTATATTTTTATTTTTATTTTTGAATAACTTAGACAATTTCCTGGACATTTTACTCTCTTAAATGAAATAACAAAATTTTTTCGATATCGCTAACAACTTAAATATATTCGTCGCTTAGATAGCGATTTTTCGAGTCGTATACAACAACAGCGAGAGCGAATATCGTTAAAACAAGTACACCGAATAGTAAAATCGTTAGAGTTATCGCTAAGTCTTCTTTGCGATCCGAAAATCGTTATACTATTGTATTCTTAGAAATAGCTAATATCGTTAAAAATATCGAAGTTTTCCTTGCGATCCGAAAAACGTTATACTGTTTTATCGAATATCGTTAAAAATTTCGCTAAGTCTTTTTTGCGATTCTTAAATCGTTATACCATTTTAGAGAATAGCGATATCGTTAAAAATTTCGCTAAGTCTAATTCTCGATCCGAAAGTTGTTTTACCATTAAAGAAATAGCAAAATCGTTAAATTATTGCTACTTTGCGAGCCGAAAATCGTGCGAAAAAGTTACAGAACTGCACTGCTGATATTTACCTTGCAATTGTATTGTTGCGAAAATGCGAGGCGAATGTCAGATGAAAGAGAGAAGCCGATAACTAGTACGATAAAACAAGAACCTTCCATAGCGAACAATTCGATGCTTCTACGCTTTCGTCTGCGAGCAGCCGACTGCTATATAAAGGCGACACTCAGCTGCAAGTCAAGCAGTGACAAAGCAAATTGGTTGGCGTTAACATCAGTGAAGACGTAAAGTGAACGCGTTGGGAATTACATTTAAGTAGAGGAAATTGTGAAAGTTGATGTTAGTGATTATAAATAGTAAAGTGCAGTATAATTGAATTGTGAATTACTGAGAAAATAAAGGACATTAGATAGAATCTTTATAACGAAAGAAACTGCAAATTAAGTTGGCGAGTTTTTATTTAACAATCCAGAGATCGTACCCGAAGGATCTAGAAAATAATCGAGGTTGATTCAGTAAAATCGTAACAGTATTAAATCCCCCTCTTAGCACCGATAGTCCTCGATTTCAATCTTTTTGTATACTGGAATATATCGGTATGATATATCGATATTAACAATCATTTGTATAGCACAAGTATCACTTGTTTGTTTACAGCGTAACGTGGTGTTTGAAGATTCGTTGGAGCTAATATGAACGAAAAAGCTAAGGTTTTAAAAAACGTGGTGAATAGTCAGCTTTCTGACTTGTATATGTGCTCATTAGAAGAATATCCTGATGTGGAGTTGACGGTAAAGAAGTTCGAAAAATACGCTAAATATTTTATATGTTATAATAAGGAGGCAAAATTTAGCCTTTGAGATTACTTTAAAGAACGCAATGAAATGGGTAGATTATTAATAACACTACAACGTTATCAACAATAACTTAATCATTTCTGTTTAGGGGCTCAAGAGTTATCCCGTGGTAAGTCATCACCATCGTAGGAGGTAATAAAAATCCGAAAGTGTCTGTGACAGTTGGGTCTTCATACCGGGACGGTCATGATTTTCCCGTCCAATGACTAACATTTCCGCAAGCTAGATTTGCATTTTCATCAACAAACCAAAATCCGTGATAATAACATTAGTACTGTAGCATGACTGATACACTAATAATATAAGTGGTTAAATATGACCATTTAATTTAACGCAATGTTAACAACTCGATGAAATATTCAAGGGGTTTTTTTTAACCGAACAAGCGGTGTGAGTGGAATGGAATCATCACCCGAACACGACCCAGCCAACGTTGGAAAAGCTGAAAGCTTAGAATTAGAATAAATAATAATTTTTTGTACGAAGAAAATTGATTTTGGACTACTTAAATTTACTAAAACTAAACTAAACTACGGTCAAAATGATAATAATTCATTCTTAGAAATATATTTGAATAGTTGAAGATAATCGAATAAGATCTATAAAAACAGATTGTCGTATATAAGTGCTCGTTACTGAAAGTCTAACCGATAAATTGTTGCAAAACAAGTTTTACATAAATATCCGATATATTAGAGGATTATTAGAAAAAAAACTTATTGCTATCTCCACTGTTGGGCGGCGATAAACCAAACTAAACCAGAAAAAATAAATTGTATAAATGAGTGGATTCAAATATAACTGCCAAAATATAACTTGCTGGCTATTTTGTACTTAATCCTGTGTGGTGAAAATTTCTTTTCTTTGGAAGATTAAGACATCTTCAACTTCTTTACTGACTAATTTTTACTGACATCAACGAACCCAGTTAATGCAAAACACATTTTTTATGCTAAAATATATATATGTATATATATATATTATTTAATATGAATTTTTGCTAATTTCATAATAAATCTTATTGCACTTAGCTTTTTATTTGTTTTTTCGATAAAGCCACTTGTGTGGAATCAGTTTTCGGAATATGGAAACTTCGACAGGAAAGTGAACTTTAAATGAATTGGGCAAACCCCATCACTTGAATACTTCCTCAAAGAAAGAAATTCACTGGGTTTTCACCGAGCAGGATTCAGAGAAAACTAGCCAGCTAGTTGTGAAACAATTTACATGTGTATATTTTTTTAAATTAATAGAACATTTTGGACAAATTAATATGTTCCTCTATGCAAAGCCCTGGAAGAAAAACATTAGCACTTCGTTTATTAAATGGAATCTCCTTAGAAGGAATGAAGAAAAATGCATACAGCTGGACTTCAATACTCATAAAGTCATATGCGGAATGTAAAGATAGCGGAGATGCTAATCAGATTATTACTGCTATCGGTAAATATAATATATAATTACATGCTAAAATTGATTAAATTAACTTATATTCTATAAATCCATTATCAGGCAAACTTGCAAAATCATCCCATACATCACAGGATTCCCGGAAATTGTTTGGTTCCAATTACATTAAAAACATCTTGGAAGTAATAACCAATGAATGCCACGTTCCCGTCGATCATTTTGTACTTTTACAGACTATTTCTATCCTCTTGAAGTTATATCCTGAATATAGCACACAAGCGAGCGGAGGCGTTAAAAATTTCTTAACGAAATTTATAGATTCACCTAAACATGATATAGTAGAGAGTTCCGCATTGTGTTACCATCTTTTATTAAACATATCGAAAGAACGTTCAAATGATATTCTAGCAAAGGAACTTTGGTCCATATACCAACGAAAATTGGTAGACGTTCTACAAACCTTGTCAGATATATTTTTGGGTAATGCATCTTCTAACGTTATGGAAGCTGTAAAGTGCGAACCATTGAATATTCCAATGTTTCAACTGAGTGACGATCCAATAAAAAGATATCCACAAATTTTTCTTCGTTTTAAAAATATTGCTATATATTTAATTGTAACTTTACGGTAAAAAGAAAATTTCTATATTTAACTTTGCACATTAAATGAAACTTTCCTTTTTAATTAAAGGGAGCCATTTTCAGCTGTAAAATTGATTAACTCAAACAGTGTAATTCATCTCATTAAAAGTGCCTTGGGGAACTCACATATAAATCAACAAAGAAATAAGAAAATTAACGAAATAATGCTTGACCTTCTGCTTCCTCAATTTTTTAATGTTCTTTTAAAAATATTGGAGACATTAATTCTATCGTAAGAAGAACAAAAATATCAACAAATAAATTTTGTAATAACATTTGTTTTTAGATTAGGAAACCATTTACGAAGGAGTTACAAACAAATATGGACCATTTTTGGAGACTTACTTAAACTAACTACATATGAAAAGAATAAAAAGAAAACATCATATTTGTAAGTTTAACTTCTTTAAATTAATAGAGATTTTCTTTTTTACAACTATTTTTTTTTAAGACGCTTGCGATTAAAAACCTACCATGTCATCAGTTTATGGTGTCAAACTATCGGCCAAGGAAGTCGCAGTGATTTAATAAGTAACTCTATTATGGATGATATGCTGAACATTTGCAAGGTAGGTGTAAAAAAGACATACACATAGTTCTTTTATATAACATACACATACATAAACATTCACACAGTGCTTTTATATAAGTTGAAAATAAAACTAGTGAAATTATATTTTATTCCTGCGGTATTAGTCTGTAATACTACTAGCAAAACATACAATTACTTATACCATATGTAAGAAGACGTCCCTTGTTGTTGTAGCGGTTCGCTGACCCCGAGGCAGCTCTTGTCTGCAATGGGTGGTGGTTTTTCTCCGAGCACGCCATCCACGGGAAGGGAGTCGTTTAAGGTTTTCTGTCGCGGTCCTGAAGTTGGTGTTCTGGAAATTCTGTAGCTTCTTTAATTGCTTTGTAAGTTGCCTGCAAAGTTTCTTTGTCTTTATCCCAGGTGCTGCGGGCTAGCGCTTTGAGTATTTTGTTGCGGTTCCGGAGTTTTGCGGCAATTGCCGTCGTAAGCGGAGTAAAAGAGTGTAGGCTATATAGTGTTACTCCCAATATCGTTGGGTTGTTTACAGTCGGAATTTTTGCGTCATCAACCTTCACATCTAATTCAAGCCTGTATTCGTTCGTCCAACTGGTGAAGAAGGTAGCCGAGGATTTAGTCGGTTGTATTTTCAACTGTCGTCCAATGAAGAAGACGTCCGTCAAGTTTCTCAGTGAGGTTATTTTATTTCTTTTTTGAAAGTACCAGTTTGCTGCCTGTAAAGAATAGTATAAAAGAGGTGCACTTATTATTGTGCTAAAAAAGAACAGAGCAACAAATTTGTCCGTTTGCTTTAAATATATACCTATTGGTGAAATTCTTTAATATTGTAAGTCATATGTTTTCATTTCATGTTAGATCTGGCATAAATCGACGTGAAACATGTTTATTTACTAATATTTTCCTAGATGCTGTAGGCGAAGCAGAATCTGATAAAATCATGAAGGTAGTCTAATAATGTATGCCATAAGTTGGCTAATAGCAAAACAATTTCAGAAAATGTATCACTTCAACTACGTTATAACACATAAAATTCATAAAAATGCATGAATTTTTTTTTTAAATTGATAGTGCGGTAAATATAATTTAATGTTTGAAGATTATTTCATGCAAATGTTCACCGTGGCTAGGGCTCAAATGGTCCATCCGCTTAGTCCAATTATGGCATACTCTTTCCAATATTTCGGCCAGTATCTCACGAATATATGCTTCAATGTTGTCTTCCAATGCGTCAATTGAAGCAGGCTCGTCTTCATAGACATTAGATTTAACACAGCCCTACGAAAAATAGTGTAAAGGCGTTTAATCGCACGATCTAGACAGCCAATTGACCGGTCCCGAACGTGAAATAAAATGTTCACCGAACTCGCCTCTCAATACGTCCATTGTTACGCGTGTTGTATGGCATGTAGCACTGTCTTGTTAAAACCACATGTCATAAAAACCAAGCTCTTGCTAAAAAAAAGCTTGATATCATCTCACGGTAGCGCTCACCATTCACAGATACGTTACGATTACGAGGTGATTGAATTTTGAATGAATGCAATCTAAACACCCCAAGACCTTTAGAAACTTCACTATTCTGCTTTTTTGGGTATTATGATGAATGATGGGACAAGTGCCGCTACAGCAATGTATACTATTTATCCTCCGATTGGCAGTCGCCAATTTTATCCCGCCCAACACCGGAACACAAATTAAAAAACTTCCCGATGCAAAAGCAAAATTTCCACTGCTTTATATGAATTCAAAGCACATTATTTACACAAACCTTTCAGTGCAGCTTCTTATTTTACTTTTTCTTTTTCAAAATGTGTTTTGCTTTAATTTTGGAAATAAATACGAATAAAAACTAGTTCGCAATATTTCACAAAAAAAAAATATATTTGTGTTCGCTCTCTATAAATACGCTTCTTTAAAGTTAACACCGGAATTTAATTGACAGATGGGCCTTAACCGGATATTGTGAAAACGAAGTTTATGCTACCTTCCGATCAAGGCTCATTTTCACAATGTCCGTGTATAAAATGTACATGGTTTGCTTGCACCTCAGCTATGTTTTCGTCGGCATCAACGGAAGTTTCTGCTGGTTCATTCGATTAAACTTCCACCTTGTCCAAATTAGATTTATTCTAGATACTAACATTTTGCAACACTCTACAGACAACAATGATGTTCGTAATTGTGCTGAGCGAAACTCAATCCATACCTCCTCGATATGCAATTTCGAGTACGGATTTGATATTCATTGACGTTTAGAGCGAAGATTGGGAGGTAAAAGTTGACACATAACCACTACCACCTGATTAAAGGAAGTTCCTGAATTCGTTTTGCTCAACACGGTGGTTCAGACAGCTTTATTAAAAACAATGTTATCATGTCCAGAACCAGGTCACCTGCATACAAAGTCCATTACTTCCATTTTACAAGTACCCCATTCAGCTTCGATAGCTTTCGGAATTTTCTTCCCCAGGTGATTGGATTCTGACATGAGTGCAAAAGTGCCGCGGTAGCAATGTATACTAGTTATCACCCCGCTTTTTTGTGCCCAACACCGGGACACAAATTAAAACACATCTCGATGCATAAAAACGTAATGTTAAAAGCAAATTTTCCGCTGCAAATCATTTTCGCTTTAAAATTTTTCATAATAAAATTTATTTTAAAGCCAACACCGGTATACTATTTGATGTATTATTATACAATTTAAGCTATGAAATTATCTTCCGGTTAAGAATTAATCGCCACTCAATGTTGGCGATAAGTTAACCACAGTTATCCTTAACCGGATATTGTAAAAATGAATTTTATGCTACATCCGAATAAGTTATGATTAAGTGCTTAACCAGAGAAGGTGGAAACGGCCCTAACAGATTTTAAATTGAAGTATTTAAACTTTTTTTTATTGTTTGTTTTAAATTCGTAATTATTATTTTTTTTTTGCAGAGTATGTCCACAACGAATTCAGTAGCAACAGACACAATTATGATGGAAGCCATTTATTCAGCTCAAAGATGTATATTTCATATATTGAATTCATCGCCTAATAATCTAAAACTTTATTCTTCATTGGTATTTATTTTCATTGAATGTAACGACATACTTTTTAAAACTGTATATTTTAGGTAATGGAAACAAATGTAATGAATTTCTTTTGTCGAACATGTGATTCATCGCTTTGGAATACATATAGCTGCGAATACCGTTCTGGGTTAATTAAAATTTTGTTCTCGATACTTACAGCAAGAGCTTTTTTAAAGCCATCTTCTGTTGAAGCTATAATTAACATTATTCGGCAAGTTTCCGTATCAGATAAAAATATTGAAGTACGTAATAATTGTGCAACAATACTGCTTTATTTGGAAAACTGTGCGCATCCTCAGAAGAATAGTTACAAACTTAATGTCGTTCAACGTACAGTCAACAATTTTATTAATGTCGCTGAAAATAATAAATTACAACAACAAAATTCGCACATATATACTAACGATGGAAATTGTCAAAAAACTTCGAGTGAATTCGCGTTAAAAGAAAAATCTCAACCAGGTAAAGGACTTATTTGTACGTCAAAGTATGGTTATTAATTTATTATATTTCTATGTATCTCTATAATATCTTTCGGCGGCTGCAGTAGCCGAGTGGTTAGCATACCGTACTGCCATTCGAAAGGCTCGGGTTCAAATCCTCGTGCGATCGACATCCAAAAGTTATAGAAAATTTATTTAAATAAAAAATTAAGTTAAATTTTCTAACTGCGGTCGCCCCTCTGCATTGAATGTCAACCCCTCCGAGTGTATTTCTGACATGAAATAAAGCTCCTCATAAAAATCCATCAGCCGTTCGGAGGCGGCTTAGTATAAACTGTAGTTGCTCAACTGTAGGTCCCTCCATTTGTTAAAAAAAACATAAAGACGCAAAACCACAAATTGGAGGAGGAGCTCGGCCGAAAATCGCTTCAGCGGTTACAAAGCGCTGGTTTTTTTATGTAATAAAACAATTCTTATATATATATAATAATTGAAAAATTACAACAATAGTTTTGGAAGATAGAAGTTATAGCTGCTATTTCAGAAACCACCACTTTTCCTCATCATGGATGGATTCAACTTATAATGGATACAGCACGAGCCAATGGTTATCCCATTAAGCTACATGTGTGCCGCTTTTACTTATTGTTGTTTTTCACTTTTCCTCTTTACCTACATATTCACGATCAAGTGCTCAGATATTCTGCAGCTGTAAACTTGGACGCAATGTAGTTGTTTTTGCGAAAAATTTACTAACAAATATTTAAAAGCAACGCCCCTTTTATTATCGGAAAATTTAATTCTTCCGAATTCCTAGATACTTTTTGAGGCCACTGTTATGTTGAATCGTTTTTGGAATTTTTATGGAACTGTTTCAGACAATATATTTTTTGGAAATAGTGAAAAAATTACAATAACTGCTATTTCGGAAGCCGCCATGTTTCCTCTTCAGACTTCTTTTCCCAGAAACTTTTGTTCGAATTGGATTCAAACTTGAGATGCCCACACCGAATAAGATGCAGTAAAAATAAGCCAGCAAGTTGTGCAAACTCTGTTTTTTCGGCTATATTTGAATCTGTTCATTTATATTTTCTGCTTTTAAGTATTTTCCTGAGTATTTTAATAAATTTTGCAATTTATGACATTTTTTTTATTCATAATTTGTATTCATGATTTATTGTATTTCAGCAATGATGAAATTTGGCGTGCTATATAATCGTCAAACCATAATGATACCAATATGATATTTCTAATGGTCCTCTAAGGGACGAAGATTTTTGCAACAATTTATCGCTTAGATTTTAGATTTTCCGACAGAGGATTAATATACGAAAATGAGTTTGGCCATATGAACCCAATATTATTATAAAGTTTATTCGCTTCTGTTTCAATAAAAACTAAGCAAGAGCTTCTTCTTTTTCCTTCTATTAGGCCTATTCTCACTGTTACCGGTAAAGAAAATTTGGTAACTTTTTAGCACCGTGAGAAGCGTTTGTTGCTCAACTGCTCAATTTTGTATGTCAAAATTTCTTTAGTATTTCAATGAGTTTTGCCCTTTCCGTGAATAAAATTAAAAACGTGAAATTAAATTTTTAACTTCACTTTCACTTATGAAATATTCAACTTAAAGATTTTTTAATTATTTTTGAGGTTAACTTCTAAGCAGATACCCTAATTTTGAGTACGCATATGAATCTATTAAAATATTTGTTTCAAGCCATTTTTCTTAAGCCGCCAGCATTTTATAGATTTTTTATATTGTAAATTAAAGCAGTACCTCCATAAGTATAACAACCGGCGTCTCAAGGACTCATGGTAGAAGGATGGGCTGTTTCTCAAAAAACCTACCTTGTGTTTTTGCCTTGGTATCATCATTAAAATTATAGAATTGATGATCAATGTATTTATAAAGGTGCGAGCAATTGTTGCGAGTAAAAGCTGCTTGAAAATGCTTGAACAAAATCTTGGACTCTAGTACCTACACATAATGCGCCACCGCTGCGTTTTGTAACTATGAGGCTTATGTTTTGCTCACTTAGGAACATGCACGGAAATAAAGCTCCTCATAAAAAAAACTACCCTACTTAATTTTAATTTTCCTTCCTTTATGGTCCCGTTCAGAAATTTCTACTCTACTATTCAAGTTCCTCATTACTTCCGTCCTGCAATAAGGTGCAACTTGTGATGACTTGGCATCAGCAGTTTCCGTTAAAAGTTTTGCAGAAATTTCACCTAAGGTTTATCACGATTCATCTTAGGAAATCCAAAAAAATCTTAATAGGACCGTTCATTTAATGGTGTGATATTTCGATGCTCAGATTGAAAAGTTAATTTTCTGGATGTTTTCAATCGACTCAAAATGGGTTTCTTTGACCCCCGATTTTGTTCTAGGGAACAAAAAAAGTCACATATGGCACTATCGCCATGCACTTTTAAAATTTTAGCGTACGCTTCCGAAGCCGAAGGAAATTACAAGGTAAAAGGGTTACCACAATTGCATTACCTTCATTGAGTATCCAGCCTTGTTCAAGTGATTTTAAACTTTTTTTTTTTGAAACGTTAAGTTCCGAGGCAGTGCAAACGAGGCTCGCAGATTTTCAGTATTTTACCGAGATTTTGAATTAATGGTCATCCACATGGAAACAATCTCTCACATGATATATAGATGAATAGCTCATGACAGGAAGTGATGTTGTATAGCCGACGTTGAATAATATTTCTTCAAGTTCCACCTCGGAAACTTTACCAAGCTCTGTAGAACCGGAACGGGAAGAAAAGAGCAAATCCCTAAACTCAGTCATTGAAGGTCCAGACTGTCGACAGTCTTTCTTTTTGGATACACTTGAAGTTAAAATGTGCTTATTTTCAATGAATAACTGTTTCCAAATATCTCTTTCATTTCCTCCATGTAGGGAGGCGGCCTCAGTATCCGAGTGATAAGCATTGCTTGCTGTAATTCTGCTCGAGGGCTGATTTGACCATCACCCAACATTATAGAAAATAAATTTTTCTAATTACATTAGCCCCTGGGCAGGGAATGTTAAGCCCTCCGAGTGTGTGACATAATATAAAATCTAATAAAAAATCTTTTCTATGCGCTCCAAAGTGCGCATTTTTTCAGCGCTATTGATTTAATTAAATTTTCCACAAAATTCAAAAAGTGTTTAACTTACAGTGCATCTCGCTTCTGACTTTAGTTGTCTAATTCTTCCATGTGGCATAGCATCTTAAAATTCCTTTTATTTAATGTTGCGTCCATACCTTACGCTTTCTGTAAAAACACTAAAAATTTCCAATACAAAATTCCTGTTTAAAACTCGAAACGTGAGTGACCTTTATTGCTACGCTACAAGGCGAGGCCCGATATATTGGCTCTGGCACTTCTCATCAGTGTATATTTTTGCTTTTGAGTAGAAAGGCGTTATTTCATTATTTTTATAGAAATAGGTATTTCTGCTATAGAACTTACTGTTTCACATCAATTTATGTTTCCTTAAATCAAATAACCGCTGTTGTGCGCAAATCAACTCTTCTAATTTTTATATGAACTTTGATCTGTATTTCTGCAGATGTGTATAACCATTACAAGAACAAAATAATGTATTATATGCTGTGCACAGTAAAGTAGATGTAATATGTATAATGCGCTGCTGGGAGAAATCAATTAGAAATATTTTAAAGGACAGAATTCGGCTGAAAATGTGAAGATACTCCTCTTTGCCTACCAGAGGAATATATTAGGGAATCGAAAGAGTACTTTTCTGTCCCATTTTTCCTTCAAAATAATTAATTAAAGAAACAAACGATATTTTTTCAATTCAAGGTATTCGATATTTTTGATGGGTATTAACGTCTAGGTCCGCCTAAGAACTAAAAATTATATAAAAATTAAGGTTAATGTAAGGTAAATTAAAAATAAAGTTAATTTTTCTAAATCTGGATTTATTTTAATGAACTCGATCAGCAGAAAGCAAATGGTAGTAGGCAAGCAAGAACAAACAGCAAAGACGGTTATTCAACGCGCGAACATGAGCAATTTTCATAAAATTGCTTAAATTAAACTAAGCAGTTTTAGATAGGAAAAGTTCAAAGAGCTACACGATAAAGCTGCATAATTCATTAAAATGGCAATTGTCATAGCGTACGCTATGGTTTTGCTCGGCTTTTAAGCACGTAAATGCAAGGAAACGGTTACCGTATACCTACGGACGAGCCTTCCACCAATGCTTGAGCTTAAGTCAACGTATAATGCCATCTTTCGGGTTATGGAATGGACCAAACCATTAACATATCTGCTTGGTGGACCTTGGTCCACTTCCGAAAATTTGTATATATTAATCCGAACCATAGAAACGATATTTTCGAACAGATCGGTCCTAGGTGCTATTCCTGGAAACAAAAGTAATGTTCCCGCTAAACTAAGCAAGGCTAACCTATGTATCAAATTTCAAGTAAATTAAACTATGATTCCAAATTTTTCGAATAGGTCAGTCCCAGGTCCTCTTCCCAGTGTGAAAAATAGATGTTATGTTATTTTCAGACCTACTAGAAGAGGACCTGGGGCTGATACATTAAAATCGGCCATGCCGTTTCGGAGGAGTGTCTAACACCGTGACACGAGAATTTTATATAATATATTAGACCTTTACGTTGAATATATGTAACAATAATTTATATTCAATAAATATATAGGTGTACAGTAAATTACGAAAATAAAAGAAAATAACAGCCAAAGATTGCTTCAAATACTTGTCTTGGATTAGACAAAAAAGCGACAAAGTTTACTAACCTAACAAATTGAAAAGAAAACTTACGGTGATTGCCGTAAATGCAGTCATAATGTAGCATTTGCATTTAAAAAATAAGTTTCCGCCTACTACAATAACCGCATGCTCTATTGAATTTCACTAATCAAACGCTCAGTTTCATTAAATTGCAATATTTATAATTTTTTCTTTTTTTATAGATCGTATCGCAGAAAATGGGATTAAAATTGTGCCACAATTTTCTGAAGCCAGTACAATAAAGAGTATAGAAAAAGCTAATAATAAGCCCACTAATTCCAATGATCAGATGCCGGAAGCTGAAAGTACTAGCATTTATTTAGAAGATATTAGCGATGATATTTCAACTGATGAAAAGCTAGTGGCGAATATTGTTACCACTTTTATTGAGGACTTAATTTAAAATTCTATCAATGAGAGGATTTGATATAATAATGGAAAGAATACCCTAGCTCAAGCCTGTTTTGTAAAAATTGGAGTCACGTATTTGTATTTTATAAAATTTATATTTACATAATATACGGCAGTTATAACTTACATATCCGTTATTATTAAAAAGAAATTCGTTAAATAAATAAGTTGAGATTCATGTTTGATTTTATTTATTTTTTATTTTTTGAATTCTTTATCATGGCGGATTGACGGTCGCCAGTCGTGGAGACTTTTTCATCCACTTCGCCGTTTCGAAAATAAACTTAAAAAAGTTAAAGGTTCATCCAGCCCCACTACAACAAAACATGTTTGGCTGAACAGTTCAATTTAAAAGATGTCAAAGACAGCCCTAATTTTGAAACCACGAAATGGATAACCCTATATAAGTGTAGAATACCAAAGTTCGCGCTCTTACGGATTTATGACCCAAAATCCGAAATTTGAAAATGCACATGCTATAGTGGTGAGATCTGGCCGGTTCCGACAAATGATCGTTTAAATGTATATGTACACTCGTGTACCAAGTTTGGTTGAAATATTTTATAAGCTTTACTTTTACGTACAAACAGACGGACAATTGGACATGGCGAAATCATCTCAACCGATCATTCTGAACAAATCGGTATAGGTTTTGATAGGTCTGTCTTCAGCGATGCTATAAATACACTAAGTATCGTCGGCAGAGCAACAACCAAATAGTCCAGCGAAAAGAGAAAACAGTAAACAACCACACAGCTGATCGCTTAAGTACGTTGGCGTATAACTTTGCCAGAATTATTGGCCGAAAAAGCTTGAGCGTAGTGCCTTTGATGAGACTTAACCCAAAGTTTCGTGCAAGTTGTGCATGTTATATAATGAGTTGCCCCAAAAGAAACCGGCGAATTTTTTTTAATTGTTTGTGACTATTTAATAGCTTGCTTTGGAAAAAAAGTAGGCGTAATTTTGTTTATGCCATATTTCACTTTTTATTATTTCCTTAAAGGGAAAAATACAGCGCGGGTTGATAAAAAGTTGCATAATTTAAACAACACAGTGTCGAAGTTGGTTTGTCAAGCTCGGTTTGGGAGATTTTTCACTCGCTTCAACGCTTGTGATATGCTTTCTAAACGCAATGAATATGATCCGTTTTTTAAGCAAATCATAACTTGAGACGAAAAATGGGTTATTTACAATAACTTCAATCGAAAAGTTGAGCTGTTTCCAAGGAACCAAACGATTAATTCGGTTGTCTACTGTGAACAGCTTGACAAATTGAATGCATCCATCAGAATTGGTCATTCGTAAAAGTGTCATATTTCACCAGGTCAATGCTAGACCATACTCATCTTTTGTCATTCGCCAATGCATCCACCATATTTTATTTTGGTTTAAACATAATTATTTCTTTATTGAATCTGCTTCGACTTCGGAAGCCTAACAAAAAGGAATAAAATTTTAAACTAAATTAAAACATAAAGCCCATTAGCGGGTTAGAGCTCATTCCAGACTTCTTGTTTAAAAGCCAATGTAAACTGGGAGTTTTGAGTTTAAGCTAGAGCGATTAGCAGCAATGTGTCGTCTACAGGTTAAGCGCCTGTCGAAGTGGACTCCGTGGTATGTAATTTCGTCAGCTTGCGGGATTGACATATTGTTGAGCTTAACAGTAGGCATGTGTTAGGTAATGATTTTTTATTTTTACGAATGAGGCAATCATATCACACCATATAGCCCTGATTTTGCACCGTCAGATTACCATTTGTTTCGATCTTTGCGGAACTCATTAAATGGTAAAACATTCGAAAATAACGAGGCTATAAAATCGCACTTGGTTAAGTTTTTTTGTAGATAAAAGCCAGACGTTCTATGAGCGCGGAACAATTGAATAAAGGTCATTATAAAATTTAAGAATATGTATTTACTTTCTTTTAAAAAATCACCGGTTTCTTTTGGTGCAACCCAATTCTTGTATATACATACATATACATAATTAGCGCTATATAGCCGCTAAGTTTTAATATTTTATTAAGGTTAATGCAAAGTAAAATAGATCGAGTAGTTAACATTGCGTACTGATAACCTCCCAAATTGTAAATAATAAACAAAAATGACTTGAGTATTTGGCATACGTTTTATCTCAAAATAAAGATACATTGGATAGAAGTTTGCTTCTAGAATTGGTAGATTCTTTCCACTTGAGTGCAACTAAGTTTCGGAATCTACATACATATATATATTAATAACTTGATAGCCAACTTTAAGGCAGAAGAGCAATATCTACACATACTCATAAACAGTAATAATATAACTTTTAAGTATTTTTTCAGTTTTAACACTATTAAGATGCTTAAAGGTTATAATTGCCTTATCATTCTTCGGTCATTATCGTCACCATTTGTTGGGTCTACCGATTTCTCCCATGTGTCAATCACCAGAAATCATGAAGAAGCCTATGTCGACCAGCATGGATACCCATTTATTAATTCGAACATTTAATTTAATTTATTACATTGAAAACATTAGTGCATTAACATATAATCTTTTCTTGATGCAAATATAAAGAAGAATTAATAATTAAAATTAAAATATTAGCACATGCTAAATTAAAAAAAATATATATATATTGATAGAAAAAGGGTAAGTTTATAACGTGGGACGAGTTCCTCTGCTGCTCTTTTTTTGTTAGCTCAGATATTACATCCACATAACGCCAGTGTATTTCTCTAAACGTAGATTTAAGAAGTTGGCTGGTTTTTATTGTTGTGAAAGAGCATGTGATGTACTGTTGTTTTCGAGATATTAACCTCTTTTCAAAACGTTAACTTAGTATTATTATATTTCTTTTTTATAATTTTTCAATGGGCTTTAGGAATTCGAGTAATTTTAATATTAATTTTTTTTGGCATTCTGTAGAAAACAGACTAGTTGAGTATTGGGTTGCCGCTCAGTAAACATGCTCAGTTAACGCTCATCATATCTGTGAGCGTAAAATTTTAATGCTACTTCCTGCTAATCGGTCAACTGCTGTAAATCGCAAAAAATAAATTGTGAAAATTTAAACATATTTGTACTTCAATATGGTTGTGACGGCAATTTACCATTTTTTTTTGCGTTTTCAGATAGATTTATTTCAGCCGTCTGCAGGAAATTCAAAGGAAGGAAGCAAATATTTTTATGAAGAAAATATGACACGGTATATACAAGTGGATGACCAATTTTCGGAACATTTCAAAATGAAGAGAACAACATTTCAAGTTAGACGTTATTGCGCAAATATTAATATGCTTAAAATAACTTTACTTCATTACTTCACAATCAGTTGTTAATTTAGTCGTTCCTACATTTGAAGTAGCAGCAGAGTAGTTGTTGTAAAAGTCCATTTTGTTTTGCCTAAGCCCGTCGTCATAAGTGTTCGCTATGGCATCCAATATCAAAATAATATTTTTCTAAATAGTATTAAAGCTAATCAATATTGGCACGTAGTTATAATTTAAAATCAAAAAAGTTTAAGGATTCATTGATCTCTGTATTGCCTTTGGATATAATTATATTGTCAAATTGTCTCTTAATGACTTCTAAATCGTTGAACATATCATAGTTTTTGCTCTCAATTGCTTTTTGTGTTAGTCTGTTCAGTTCTGTTACCATACGCTGCAGTTACGATACCAAACCTTTTTGGAATTCGGCGGAGTTGATGGCCTGATTTAAGGGAGGTTTTGGAAGTTTGAGTTTTGGTCGGTAATTTTTTGGTTTTGGGATGGTCGCTTAACTTACCTAACACATTCTTTAAAAGCTTAACTGTAAGTTTTTCTTACAATTCCTTTTGATGTTGGAGTCCTTATCGATTGTTACGAATTCTTTGGTATTTCGCATGAGAAAAGAGTCATCATCCACTTCCAGTAAACTGAACCGATTCTTCCTGGGGAAGTATTGTTCGTCTTGATTATGTTAACCATTATATCATTTATTGTTAATTTGGAGTAAGTATAGATGATATTTTTAGGGATTTCATCTCCCTTAAAGCCTCATTTGATCGTGGTTGTGGGTGGGTACGAGATACTATCAATGTCATTTCTGGTGAACCGGTTGACGGATAGGATTGGAATGCTAGAAGGGTCTTAAGTCTTTTACCTTTAGATTTATATTTTTAACAAATATGTTTGCAGCTGTTACATTCTTAAATGTAACTTTATAAAGTGCTCTACCAATAGCAACAATTTGGTCAACGTCCTTAATATTTAGGTCTTTAATTCAACTGTACAACGTCAAGCCAGATGTCATTCTGTGAGAGAGGGTGAGTTCAAGAGCATTACCGCATTATTAAAAAACAGTCTAGAGGTGTATACATAGTTCAATCCCGGAGGGATAAGTTTAACGAACGTGTACTCTTTGAGAACTTAAGTTTAATGTACAGATATTGATAGATATTATGAAAATACTAAATAGCTAAGATAGAACCCAAGAATACATAAGAAATTTTTACCGACTTTTATCCCCTGGAATCTCCCGCTGAATTAGCTCAATTTGAGATTCGCTAAAGCTTAAATAATTAGCTAGTTTCTCACACAATAGACCATAGTTAACAGAAACAAAAAAATCAATCAATCAAAAACTATAGACTAGAAATTTCTGAAACCGGCCTATGAATGTTCATGCTGGAATTAAAATTAAAGTAGAGGAAAATATTTTAGGAATTGGTATAAAAATTAGAAAAAAGCAAAATCAAGTCGGTTTCTTCACATCATTTCAAGGAGATATTGGGTTTCAATAATACCCCTGAGTGACCATAATCAAGAAGGCGAGAAGCAAGGTCATCGGAAAACCGTTCCAGTGAAATGCTCTAATTCAGATTGTATACTTGATATCAGAAGAATAAGAACTTATAATATTAACATTTAGGCTGTTTGTACAATACAAGGCCACTCCACCACTTCTTCTATCCAAGAGGTCGTTGCGAAACAAATTTTAGTTCGGAATGGAGTAGCGATAGTCGCGAGTATCTTTCTTAAACCAACTCTCTAACACAGCAAGCTAATGTTCAAATGTACTTGTAATGTTATCTAATCTTTTAATATTTTACTCAAAAGAAAAATTAATATGCATATTATATATGTATGTCATGATTATGATCTTGACTTTTAGCTATCATCGTTTTGGCAGCACCGGGCAATGCGTGCTCTGTTAAGAAAGTTCATCGCGCACTTTTTTTATCGAAAAGTTGTATTCAGCGACGAAGCTCACTCTTGGCTTAATGGGTGCGTAAATAAGCGGAATTGTCGATTTTGGAGTGAAGATCAGCCAGAAGCATTGCAAGAGCTACCAATGCACCCAGAAAAAGTCGCAGTTTGGTGCAGTTTATGGGCTGGTGGCATCATTGGAACGTACTTCTTCAAAGATGATGCAAATCGTAACGTATCTGTGAATGGTGAGCGCTACCGTGGGATGATATCAAGCTTTTTTGAGCAAGAGCTTGACTTGCATGACATGTGGTTTTAACAAGACGGTGCCACATGCCACAGCAGTCACGATTATTTGCATGAAATAATCTTCAAGCATTAAATTATATGGACCGTACTATCGATTTAAATGAAGATTTTATGCATTTTTCGAAATTCTTTGCGTTTTTTTTTTAAAATTACCCTTTTTTAAATATTACCTATGATGTTAAGAAGATCGGTGCTATCAGATACAACAACAGCTTCATTTCCTGAAAATATTCGTATGAAAAATATTCACATCTCGAAGGTTAAACACAATGCAATTTATCAAATATTCTAAGTTTTATTTGCAGCTCGTAGAGCTGGTAAGGGTTTTTTTCCATTGTTATTATTCTTTCATTATAAAGAATTTATCTAATGTCCTTTATTTACTCAGTTATTCACAATTCAATTACAATGCCCTTAAATAGTTACAATAACTTGCATAAACTTTCACAATTTACTTTACTTAAATGTAATCTCCAACGCGTTTACTTGACAACTCTAAACTGATGCTGTCGCCAACGAGTTCACTTTGTAACTAACTTAACTTGGCAGCTGAGTGTCGCCCTTATATAGCAGTCGGCTGCTCGTAGACGAAAGTGTAGAATAATCGAATTGTTCGCTATGAAGGTTCTCGTTTTATCGTTCTAGAATGTACTAGTTACCGGCTTCTCTCTTTCATCTGACATTCGCCTCGCATTTTCGCAACAATACATATGTGTGTGATCATTATTTCAAAACTTTGGCTGTAAATGCTAAGTGCCCACGAACGTGGTACGATTTTTTTATTTGGCGCACCCTTTACAGTGGTAGTTTTGAATGTGGAAACCACAACATGTTTTGGATTTTGTATACTTTATAATCCATTGCAACTCATTTAATAATAATTAATGCTAACACGAATTTGTTTTGTTTTAGCCAGTCATATTTGTGTTTCTCGCATTTTTTAACGTTTTGTTAATCTGTGGTGCCAACTTTCCTCCCTTTCAATAAAAAGAAAATGTCGGAAGTCGATTGTCGTTAAAAATCAGTTAGTGCAAGCGAGAAAATTTGCACAATATTAATTCGGCAAATCGAATCGAAAAAGTTTCTGAATTCCACTAAAGGACTTAAGCATGGTAGCTTGTATGGAACCGCTGATTACCTCAGCAGTGCAATTCTGTAACTTTTATCGACACGATTTGTCGGATCGCAAAGTTACGAATTTTGTCGCTTGCGCTAACGATTATGCGATTCTCTAACGCAGTTGTTACGATAATCGACATCGCACATTTCCATTTTATTAAAATGTAGGAAAGGTGGCACCACAGCTCAACGAAACGTCAAAATGTACGAAAAGCACAAAGAGGAATGACAAAAACAAATAAATTTGTTATTGAAATTATTTTAATTAAAAGAATAGCAATGCATTACAAAGTTTTTCAATAGCATGTTATGGTTTGCACTTTCATGCATGACTCTTCGCTCTATAGGGGAGCTCCAAATAAAATAATTGTGCCGCGCTCTTGGGTACTTGGCATTTGCCAGTATAATCTTGCGATAAGGACCATATATCTATGTGAAAATATAATTAACTTTGTTACTACAATAGTAATCGGAAACAAATTTACTCTCACCATTTGCACATTGATGGAGTGGTATCCATGGTGGTTTATATACGCTTCTTCATGGTTTTTAACTCATGTGCAATCGATAGCTCCAATAGTGCCTCCAACATATGGTGACGATGACGAAGCAAAAATTTGGAAAACTAACAGAAAACCTTGAACGGTTGATTGCGTCTGTTACGCGATGAACACAACGGTTTACTGACGACTGACTCATGGACATGCCCATTGCAAAAAATCGCGAGGCGGGTAGAACCTTTAAACATTATAATAGTGTTAAGACTAAAAAAAATATTGAAAATATATATTATTACCTGTTTCTCCGTAGACAATGCTGTTATTCTTCTTCCTTTTAGTTGGCAATCTAGTTCAGAAACGATTTCTTCAACTAAATCCGGCGAAACTCGGTAGCATCCAAATGAAAAGGATCTTCCGCTTCTCGACGCAAACTTCTATTCAATGATGAAGATTAGGATACCTCGTCATATTGTGATAAAACGTATGCCAAATATTCAAAACCATTTCTTTTATTTTTTTATTTTTATTTTTGTATAACTTTGACAATTTCCCGGACACTTTACTCTCTTAAATGAAATAACAAAATTTTGTCGATATCGCTAACAACTTAAAAATATTCGTCGCTTAGTTAGCGATTTTTCGAGTAGTTTACGACAATAGCGAGAGCGAATATCGTTATAACAAGTACACCGAATATTAAAATCGTTAGAATTATCGCAAAGTCTTCTTTGCGATCCGAAAATCGTTATACCATTTTAGAGAATAGCGATTATCGTTAAAAATATCGCTAAGTCTAGTTTGCGATCCGAAAATCGTTATACTGTGCTTAGAGAATAGCAAAATCGTTAAAATTATCGTTAAGTCATTATAACGATCCGAAAATCGTTATAATACGATAGAGAATTGCCCTACAGATTTTGCTTTTAAATCTCTTAGAGCACAAAATTTGTGAATGGCTATATGATTCTCACCACAGTTACTACACATTTTTTGTTGGATCAGTTTCATTGAAAGAGGACTATTTTGGCCCTGCTGCGCATATAATGGGGGTTTCATAAAGTACGCTGTTGTTAAAAATGCAATAAATCAGCCAAAATCGATGCAAAATTCAAAATTTTATTTAATTTCATTCGACATACATATACTTCAATTTAATTTTGAAAATTGATATTGAGCATTTGTCCACATCCACTTTCTCTGCAGGCAGTGATCCGATCCCTACTACCGCAATGGTGTGTTGCGTTCGAACATTTTGGTTTCGACCGAGCAATTTTCTGGTTGCAACTGATCCAGATTCCTCGAAACTCCTTACGTCCAAAGACCGCACGAAGTTTATGGGTAGTCTCTACATAGCACTCCCCGTTTTCGTAATGAGTTTTCACAATAAGAATGCGCTGCTCTTTACTGCACCGCTCCATGGCTACAAAATAGAAAATTGTCAAATGGCCTTCTAATCGGAGTGATATTAGATAACGAAAATGATAGGAACAGTGCTGGCAATCTTCAAACAAAAAAATCTCGCGAAATTTAAAATCTGCGTACTTTATGATACACCCTATAGTACGTTAACGCACAGTAGGATTTGGTATGTTCAAAATAACGACAGTTTGTGCAGAGTACATGAACTTTTCGCTGAAGCTGTATATTGAGTGAGTTTCATTCTTCTTAAATTGAGCTGAAAACTTAAAATATAGTTTGTGGTGTTTTGGTTAATTTTTTTACGGTCGCCTTCAGAGTTTCTTTTATATCATTTAACCGCCGGGTTGAAAGGCTGTCTAAAAGCTATGCTGACACAAAACTTTTGATTTGAGTATGTTATTAAAGTAATTTGTACGTTATTCCTAACTGTAAATCTTGGAAAAAATAATAACGTGACAAATAAGTACCAACCGTCTAGTAAGACATTCTTTACATTTCGAAGCAATAGGAACAATAATATAAATAAAACAAATAGTGAACCTTTTATTATTTTTTAATATTATTGAAGAAGTAGAGGATGTATGTTACATAAATGTAATGAATGATATGGTGCAAAGGCCAGTTTATAAAGCGCCACTTGACACTCTTTACAAATTGTCTTAGTGCGTGTCTGTATTATTTGAGCACTAAGTTAGCGCATTGACGTCGGGTAGCTTCTTCAAGAGGAAGATGCCTTTCCTTCTGATTGCAGGTTCCGGTGCAGGGCCTGGTTTGAAGGACGTACGAACGATTGAGGACCTTCCTGGATTTTGCGCTCTTCAATTGAAAATGTAATAATTTTTGGTGTTGGCCGTAAGAAATAAAATGACTTCTAGAAAGTGATTCTTGATATGCACTAGGATTAATATTTCCATTTTTAAGAGCACAATGTGGAAATTATTGGTAGCTACAATATAATTTATGGCTATTCCGAAACAAGCTAATTAGATCTGCCCCGGCATTAACAACTGCGGCAATCTATTTTTTTTCTTGGCTTGAATTACGCAGTTTTTTTGATGTCTCATCTTGTACCGCAATTGTTCCTCGCACTGATTTTGCTGCTGGTACTGCGTTGTTTAGTGTAGCTTCTGTTACTTGATTACTTGTAGAAGGCGGAAAAATTGATGTAATGCTGTTATTTTTAATGCCGCTGTTGGCTTTGTTGGTGTGTGTACAAATATTTCGCTCGCCTTTAAACTGTTGTGATACAAAGTCAGGCGGCGAATCACCGTCAATACCTGTTAAGACTCCTTAGATCCGTTTTAGAGAACATATTTCGCGGGACCTTTCTCGATCTCACGACGGCCAAATTTGTATACAAACTCTACAAATAGCAGAATGATTTCATATATTTCGGCCGGGTTATAAGTATATAATCCCAATGCGTTGGTATGCATGGTCGTGCCTTGCCTGACTTGGTATAAAATTGTATTCTTCCATGGATTATTCCTTGAAACGAAAAGCGGCCAAAAACCAATTAGGTATAATAATAAAATATCGACATTTAAGTAATCATTTGGCGTAGCCTAGAGCGTTCCTCTCAAGCTTATCATAGCTGATCTTTGAACTCTATTTGGGAAGTTATTGGGATCACAACAAATGTAAAGATTCAATGGCAAAGCTTAGAGTTTCAACTCCATTTCTTGCCAATGGCTCTTTTACATTTATAGAGGGCGAAAGGGACCTTCTGGTGTATGATTACTTGAACTGAACCACATACGAGGCTTAGGTAAACTCTATTTAAAGCTGGCGGGCTTATTGTCCACAGTTTATACCTCTTAGTAAATAGGACGAATTCCATCTTATTGCATCTAACGCATAAGTCACAACCAGTTAGATACTCTCCAAAGAGTCCCCACTTAGAGTTTGCAACGATTCTAGCTTCTCCCCCATTAACTCCCTGTCAGAAGCGAGCATGGCAGAGGACGGCGCCTTGAGGAGTCCGTTTGCTCACTTTGTGGATAGCTAGCCTCCCAGGCTCGGGGTTACAGTTCTGCATAGGAGTAGCTGATTTATGAGTACAATTAGAGTGGTGTTAAACCCTAGGTGCTACAAATTCAGCATTCCGGTAAGATGTTGTTAAGGGAGTCATGCGCAAGTAGGCAAATAGGCAGAATTCCCTTTTGTTAAAAGGTTTCTTAATAATTGGATGTAGTTTATACAACGCAGTTTCGTTTAATATCCCTTTCTGATAGGTGGGCTGATCATTCGAAATAAGCTTTTTTCAGTGGTTTAATAAAGGAAATTTACTATAGTGCTTTCCATGATTTAAAAACGAAGGAGGAGGTTTATAGAGCTAAGGACATAAAGACAAGTGAAAGAAAAGTTAAGTTTAAAATACTACCACGAGAAGGAAAAGCAACATATTGATAGTGTCTACGGCTGGCATTGTTTCCAAAGGAAGTATTAGAAAATCTGCCTTTAAGGTAACTTAATTTTCAAAAACTTTTTCTATACCATCAACAAGTGTTATTCTCACCTTCGCGAAGCTTACATCGTATGGATGGTATGGATGCTGCTGTTCAGCACAAGGATTTATGTACTCCTGTTTCTTCGCTGAAGAAACTCGACTGTTATAAAAAGAGGCAACAATAAATCGTGCACTACTAAACGGACTGATCAACCTCCAACACAAACGCATCGTATTTGTTTGCCCATCATGTTTAAATTCGTTCTGTATATTTATGGAAATCGGGACGAATTATTAACACAATTGCTGGAAGCGATCCCCGAATTAGTCGTCGACATACGAACATCGAAGAGAATCATTCGGCGCATCGTTCACAATACGGTTTTTTCAGTTTGAAAGTCCTTTTAACAGTGTCGAGATGTTGGGTCTTCGACTCACTATATACATGAACTCAGGGATATGTTTTATTATTGTATATATCAATTTACAAAAAAAAAATATACTTTCAAATAATTTTTTTTTTTTTTTTGGGTTTTTAAGGTGAAAAACAATTCCTTAATTTACAAATATTTTCCGGAAAAAAAACTTTAGAGTAATTAGGAAATATGTTAACAAATTTCTGCGATGGAGATTAAAAATGATATTCTTCTAAGGTGAATTCACTAATTCTATTACCTTGTACTAGTCACAGTGGTATGCATACGTGTACGTGTTTTTTTTTTTTTTTTTTTTTTTTTTTTTTTTTTTTTTTTTTTTTTTTTTTTTTGTAAAAGTCACCTTAGACTTATTATTTGTTCTGCTTCTTTTTGGGGCGAAAAAATTTAATGAAACATTTATTCTTTACCAATTATAATTAGGATTTATTTTTTCACATATGCAATAACGTATAACATGTTGAGATTAGTTAATTAATAAATGTATTTGTGTGGAATACCTTTAGACCTTGAAGGCACCTTACTAATGAGTAGACCATTTGATGAGTTTAGATACCATATTTGAAATTCATACGGAAAAGATATTGTATATTCACTTGAGCAACATCGTATACAATATATTCGTTGTAAAGAAGAGAGGATTTAAGACTTGTGTCTGTTATTGGTTTGCCGAGTGGAATCTCTACACCATCTTCCCGAATATAAGACTCCTTCGGATCTGGCATCATTCGCCCACGACCTAAAGTACTATGTTTGTTTGGTGGTAATTTGGTAACGTATTTTGCAGAAGTGCACTCCATCATGTCACCTAGAGCTACCTCGGACAAAAGCATCAGGCCTGTGTTATCCTTTGAAGTGGTACAACAATAGTTTGCGGATTTTGTCACCATATCTGCAAAGTAAATACCCTTTCCAAACATATAACCCGTAACCGGTGCTTCAGGAGGGGCAATTTTTAAGCCGTGGGACAAAATTCCAGCAAAGTTAGTAAGTCGAGATCCATGCCAAAGCAATTTGCGGTTATTTAATTTTTTGAAAGGTTTATAACGGCGGGCCTCCCCTTGGCGGACTACTTTAAACACATCAACAATTTCCAGTTTATACATGTTGTGTGTTTCACCATGCGTGTTTTCGACATATTTTTCAAGTAGTTTGAATTCTTCACTGCTTTTATCAATAGTTTCAAGTTTGATTTTAAGTTGTTCGTAATGTTTATCCAGAGGATTTAAGTTTTCTTCTTCATCTTCCGCTTGCAGCAAACTGTAAGCATATTCAATTTCCAAAAGAGAATCAAGAACTTGTCGATGTTTTTCAACTTCCTCAATGGTATCTAAAATCGGAGGACTTTGAACGCCAAAATTATGCGGGATTAATGTGTAAAACCTATTTGTGGCGTCAATAAAATTCACTTTATTTGAATTTTGCTGAATAAGATCGTAAATCTCAGTTAACACTTTATATGCAGATTGAATTTGCCTTTTACTAAGTTTTCCCAGTGGCATTTTTTCCATATCTAAGTCGAAAAGCATCATAGTTTTTTTCATTTCCTCAATATCAAATAAAAGTTTTACTAGACTTTGAACCGATGAATTTAGCTTCGACTTAATTTTGCAATTTTTAGGATCCTCAACTTTTTTTTCATCCTCATAGTCGATTTCAATTGGATACATCCGGCCAGGAACCTAAAAATAAATTTTAATAGTTTTAAATAATTTAAGAAACTAATTGTAATATTAAAATAAATAAATTACTTTCCGATTTAACGAATGCATTAATTGTCTGGCTATTTCGTTAAATCGATTTCTTCTCGTTAAACTGGTTTTCGTTGAATCTTTTTTTCTTTTGTTTTTTAAAATTAATTTCATAAATAAGGTTTAGTTTATATGAAATATTAATTGATCGTGTGCTGTTTTTGGTTCGATTTTTTGTGTGCCGCTGGCGATGCAATAACGATTGTCGGATCGTTAAAATGACTTAGCGATTTTAAAATTCGGTGTACTTATATTAACGATGCTACCAACGTCCCGTCGGAGACCAATAGGGAATACCCATAAGTCAGTCGTCAGTAAGCTATTGTATTCAACGCGTGACAGAAGCAGTCAACCGTTCAATGTTTCCTGCGAAGGTTAGATTTCCCAATTACGTCGCCACTATTGGTACTATCGATTGCGAAGAAGCCTATGCCAACCTTCATGAATATGAATACCATTCGACCAACGAGCAAATGGTGAGAGTAATTTTTTTCCAATTACTATTGAAGTAACAAAGTTTATTATCTTTATACACAGATATGTAATCCTTATTGCAAGATTATAGCGGCAAATGTCAAGTTCCTAAGAGCTCTTCTATAGAGCGAGAAGTCATGCATGAAAGTGCAAACCATAACATGTTTTTGATTTGATAAACTTTGTAAAGCATTGGTATTCATTTAATAAAAATAATTTCTATAACTAATTTTTTATTTTTGTCATTTCTCTGAGCTTTTCGCATGTTTTGACGGTTTGTTAAGCTGTGGTGTCACCTTTCCTTCATTTTAATAAAATGGAAGCCTGCGTTGTCGATTATCGTAAAAATTGAGTTAAAGAATCTATTAATCGTTAGCGCAAGCGACAAAATTCGGAACTTTGCGATCCGACAAATCGTTACAGAATTACACTACTGGTGTATTCTTTTCGACAGAATGAATGTACAGATGACGTCAAAACCTTAGTGGTGCTTATCGCTCTTTATATAGAAGTGATAACATTTACTTATTACATCTTTATTTTTAAGATTTACCTTAAATTCAAAAGAAAGTTCTAGAGAAGTGTAATTATTTCCTAAGCGAATGTAGCAAAGAAAACTTGGAAGTAAGCAGTCCCCGCAATAAGTATGATGATCACCAAACACCGAGTATCAACAAAAGTATACAACAAAAACTGTAAAACATGAAGATGGGAGCAATATGGTTTGGATGGAATTTTCTTAGCTGGGTGTAGAACGTATTGCTTGGATTAAGAAAAATGTGACATGTATCTATACTTGTGAACGCGCTGTTAGAGCACACAAGCAATTAAGCACTGCTCATAAAAATAAAATAAAACCTACAGTGAAAATTCAAATAATTAAGCGAGTTCCTTTAGTGTAATCTGAAGAACACTTAAAAAAGGAAAGCACTAATAAACTCCAAATTAAATAACACAACACAATATTAATAAACAATAAGTAAAAACAGAGAAATAAACAAAAAAGTTATTCTGTGAGTACAAAAAAAAAATGAGTACGTCGCGGCTAAATCCGCCGGATCGAAGGCTCTCAAGAGCTCTCTCAAGCTTTCTTATTTCGAGCAAACAACGCCAACACAAACAACGGCAAAAGAAAGCAGACTCTCAGCAGTACTCAGCTAACGCTAAACAGACGGCGAAGTCGACAGAGAAACAAGAGAGAAAAGGTAACAGCAAGCAAACACCCAGCAGGAAATCGCCCACCACTACAAATGAAAAGGAACAGGCAAGCGGTAAGCCCAATGAGATAAAAAAGAACATAATAATACAGACAGGACTAGATCGATATATAAATATCAAGAAGAAATCAATCCTATTAAGAACACCAACAACAAAAAATTGCAAATGAGTGGAACTAATGTAAAAAGCCAAGAACCTTCCAGTAGCAACCGATTTGCTTTATTAAGTGAGGACAGTGTAAAGGGTACTACCACAGTTGCAAATGCCAAATCACCGCCAATTTACTTGCGCGAACGTGTCTCAAGCACGTTAGTTAATAATATTACCAAAATAGTCGGCACTAATAACTTTCACGTTGTGCCTTTAAAAAAAGGTACCATAGATGAAACAAAAATTCAAACTTACAGTGAAAAAAGCTTCATGCAAACAGTAAGTTTTCTATCGTCGAGTAATAAAAATTATTACTCATATCAACTGAAGAGCTCGAAAGGCCTAACAGTTGTAATGAATGGTATTGAATCCTCACTCAGTCAAGCCAGATGAAATAAAAGATGCTCTTGAAGAAAATGGTTTCAGTACTAAATTGATTATAAATATACTTAATAGAAACAAAGTACCCCAACCAATGTTTAAGGTAGAACTAGAGCCCAATTCAAGTCAGATAAAGAAAAACGAAACCCATCCCATAAAGTCAGATAAAGAAAAACGAAACCCATCCCATATACAATTTAAAATATTTGCTACATCGTAGAGTAACAGTAGAAGAGCCACACAAAAGAAACGGCCCAGTGCAATGCACTAGCTGCCAAGAACTCAGCCTACTAAATCATACTGCACATTGCGCAGTGTTTGCGTAGCATGTGGGGACCTACAGCCTACGTCTGAATGAACGTCAAAGAAAGATGATGCCGCCATGAAAAAATGTAGGAATTGTGGAAGTACATAATCACACTGCCATTTATAGGGGCTGCCCTGTATATAAAGATCTAAAAACTAGGTTGGCAAATATTATTCAGACTCGCCGAAGTCATATGGTAAATACTACTCAAATCCAATTTGTAGAAAAAGCTACGGATAAAACTGTTCCAAACGTGCAAAATATGAAATAAAAAAATAAATTATCCCTTGCAAATGTCCTGAAGAATAATTCAGATAATATTCCACAGAACCAGTCTAATGGAGGTATAGAATCGATGATTTTAAATCTTACGCAGAGCATGACACAGTTCAGGTCAATTATGCAATGCATGGTCCAGACTTGATTAAAGCCCAGAATAACATGCTACAAATCTTCGTGCAATAAATGAGCATGCTAAACATTTATTTAGGGAACGGTGTAAACCAACATAAATTAGAATTGGTACGATTCTTAACAGAGTATGCTATAGACAACTCAGACCACTCACCAGTTCTAATAAAAATTTACCAGCGCCCGAAGATAATTGCACAAGAATCAAGACTAACAAGCAGAGAAACCAACTGGCTAAAATACAAAAAATATCCTAGTACTCATATTAACATCAACCAAATATTGAATTGTGAAAACGATATTGATGACTACATTCATGAGCTAAATAATGTCCTTCTTTCTGCGGCAACCATAGCAACTCCAAAAAGTAAACAGCCTACTACGTGCCCAAAAATTTTAACAAATACAGAAATAGAAGAACTAGTAAAGAAAAAGCGCCGTTTGCGTAGAGAACGGCAAGAATATCGCTCTCCTGCAGCAAAATTACGGTTGAAAGCAGCAGAGAGGAAGCTGAAAAGTGCACTGAAACAAGCAGAAGATCACAACGCCAAAGCGTACATAGAAAAACTAGCGCCAAATTCTGCCAAAAAATACTCACTCTGTAAAGCACAAAAGAAATTTAAACCTCCAATAGAAATGAATATGCCAATCAGGGACCCAAATGGTAACTGGGCACGTAGTAACGATGAAAAGGCAAATTGCTTTGCAAAGCATTTATGTAATGTATTCCAGCCAAATGACGCAACTAATAATTTTATTCTGCCGGAATTCGCTGTTAACGGCCAGGAAAAACAGGTGGCAATTAAAATATCAAGGCTAGAAGTGGTGAGATACCGAAACTGAATCCAAAGAAATCTCCAGGCCACGACCTCATTACATCAAAAATGCTAATAGAGCTACCAAGAGTTGCACAAGCATTGCTCTCTGAACTCTTTAATGCCATTCTAAAACTAAATTACTTTCCAAACGCTTGGAAAAAGTCGCAGATATTAATCATAGCCAAACCAGGCAAAGACCACACAGAGGCGGCTTCTTACAGACCAATAAGCCTACTACCAAGTCTTTCCAAATTATTTGAAAAAAATCTGCTATCAAAAATATCTCCTTTTCTCCACCGTAACAATGTGATACCAAGTCACCAATTCGGCTTTCGTGAAAAGCATAATACTATTGAACAAGTTAACCGAATAACTAATGAAATCAGAAAGGCATTCGTGCTCAAGGAGTACTGTTGTGCAATCTTTCTTGACGTAGCACAAGCGTTCGACAAAGTTTGGCATAAAGGCTTACCGTACAAAATACATAAAGCTCTGCCTGTTCAATTTTATATGATACTTAAGTCATATCTGACTAACATACAATTTACCATTAAACAACCTGAATTTATCAGTGAGGAGTATCCGGTAAAAGGTGGTGTCCCGCAGGGTGCAGGTGCAGACATCTACCTTTTCGGATGACGCAGCTATTTTATGCCGGAATAAATACCCTAAAAGAGCAGCAAAAACGATTACTGAAGAATTAAAGTTAATGAACACGTTACATTTACTTTAAGACCGCAATCATGTTCTGCAATTCGCTTAAATGGTATAAACATTCCCCAAGTAAATGATGCTACATATCTCGGTATACACTTAAATAGACGTCTCACTTGGAAGAGACTCATTAAGGCAAAAATACTACACATGAAATTAAAAGTAGTTGTAGTAGTAAAACTATGCTACAAAGTCCTTATTTACAACGAAGTATTAAACCCAATTTGGATGTACGGTATTCAGCTGTGGGGTACGACGTGTGCAACTAATACAGAGGTACCAGTCCAAAACTTTACGAGCAAGATAGTCTGAAATTGAAAGAAGCAGGACGAAGTACTTCACAAAGGTGAGAAATCATCCAAATCCGCTAGCTAATGCTTTATGAAACCCACCGAGAAGTTCCCGCCTGCAGCGAAGAGATGTTCCCTCCTTCTAAGGAGAGCGCCGTAGTTTGAAAA